ATGTGGTAGCCCTGGGCAAAAGAAAAGCAGTAAAATCACTCTAAATGTATGGACAGTGTAAAATATTAACGCATGATAAATAATAAAACAGTTAAAAATAATAGCATTTTTCTCTCTCTTTCTCTCCCTTCCTATTTCTTTTTTCTTTTTTTCTTCCTCTTTCTTTCTTTCCTTTTACTTTTCTCTCTCTCTCTCTCTCTCTCTCTCTCTCTCACACACACACACACACACACACACCATTCTTTTCCTATTTCTTTTTCTTTCTTTCATATCTTTCTTTTTCTTTCTCTCCCTTCTTCTTTCCCTCTCTCTGTCTCTGTCTCTCTGTCTCTCTGTCTCTCTCTCTCTCACACACACACACACACACACCTGGTCTGGGACAAACTGAATGATCCCATGAGCTCCAGTCAGCAGCAGGCGGCGGGAAAAGGAAGAATGGGGGTGGCGGACCCCACCAATACCTCCGGAGGCTGTGCTGGGCTGTGGAGCACCCCCCCCACACTCTAGCACTCCCAAGTTCCTCTATGGATGGCAGCAGTGGGAGGAGCATCCGTCCTCCCTCCCAAAGACCTCCAGGGGCCGCTTGCTTTTTTTGCGGGCGGCGGGAGGGCAGGACAGGGTGGGTGGATGTCCCAGCTGGGATTGCACATGCGGTGCACAATTTTCAGCAACCCCGGCCTGGACATCCACCCGCCCTCGCTGCACCACAGCTGCCACGTCATTGGGAAAGCTGAGAAAATACCACATGGGATGGAGCCACGCCGGTTTAGGCAGCCAGCCTGCCGAGCCCAGGGACAGGAAGGCCCAGAAAAGTCTGGAGATGGTAGGGAAGGCCCAGAAAAGTGTGGGGACGGGAGGGAAGGCCCAGAAAAGTGCAGGGATGGGAGGGAAGGCCTGAAAAAGTGCAGGGATGGTGGGAAAAGGGCTAGCATGACTCGCAAGCTTACCTGTGAAGATCAGGGCTGGTCAGTTGGGGTGCAGGCACCATGTGGGAAGGCTAGAATGGCAAGCCATGAGGACTGAGGAGGGGAGGAGTGACTGGACGGGGTGAGTGGCAGGTGGGCGGGGTGGCCGGGGAGAGTGAGAATTGGGCGGGCGGGATAAGCGAGTAGAAACCGGGCGACTGAGTCGGGAGCATGGCCAGACAGATGTTCAATTGAGAGTATATTATCCTACTGTCTCTGTGTATGGTTCTCGAGCTGCACAGTGGCAGAGAAAAAGGCAATTCAGAGGGTGATCAAGACGGCCCAAAACATCATTGGCTGCTCACTCCCCTCTTTGGAAGAACTGTATAGGAATAGATGTAAGAGGAAGATACTTAACATATTGAATGACTCCTCTCATCCGGGACATCAGCTCTTTGAACTATTACCATCAAGAAGGAGATTTAGGGTATTAAGAACAAGGACGACCAGATTTAAGAACAGTTTTTATCCAAGTGCAGTTTTGAGTCTGAATGCAGGGTCATAAGATTTTTGTGGAGTCTAATGGCTGAGAGTAGTGGGGTATTTACATTTTTAAATTGTATAGAGATTATTGTATGGTTGGTTGTGTTTAGTTTATTTTTTTTCTTTTTTAGTGGTGTTTGTCCAGTTTTACTTGTGGAAGAGCACCTCATTTCGTTGCACCCGCTTGCGAGTGTAATGACAAATAAATTCTTATGTCTTATGTCTTATGTTGCTACCGGTTTGGTAATCCATGCCAAATTCTTGCTACCGGTTCGCCCAAACCAATGCAAACTGACTGAATACCACCACTGATGCTGGTTGGAAAGAAACAACTGGAGATTGCAATCCCTCAAATAATCAGATCCTATGACATGAATGGTTTTATATATGGCAATCAGGATCTACTATTACATCTCGAAACTTACTGGCAACAACACAGCTTACATAGCAATGGTGATACATAGGCATAATCTAAGGTTACTGTTGATGCTCACCTTTTGCTTTTTGTACCTTCAGGATGATCATCAAGGGTAGCCCATATTCTTGCATGGATCACTACATTTATTCAGTTGTTAGGGAACCAGGTTATGAATCAATATTTGAATGCCCTCTTGGTTTAAAAAAAAGGCATAAATATTGCACAAGATGAATCTCTGCATAGATTTGCCATGCCATCGTTACCACCTGCTTTTCTAGCCAAAGCTGCAAATCCAGAAGGACTCTTAGGTTGCACAGTCTTAAATGTGAAGTGTAACATTATCCAAGACCAACAATGGGAATCTCTCTAGCACAGGTGGTGCAAACAGCTACAATCACTCAGTTTTGTCAGGATATTTCTCCAAGTCTATCTCACCCCATCCAAACCAAACATTCTCCATGTCAATACACTGACAGCTTCATCTGTACAGTCTGACATTAAGATATAAAGTTGGGTATCATCAGCTACATTATCTCACCCAGATAATGCAGAAATGTAGACATTAAGTAGGAGGGAAGAGCATGTCGAATCCCAAGAGTTCCCACAAAGGGGCTGTGGTTGAGATCTTTACTCTGCCATCAGCATTGCCTGCGATCAAGAACTGAGCAAGAAGGCAAATCAATGCAATATAGTACTTCCCACTGTCAGCCTTTGCAGCTGGTCCAGCTGATTATATCATAAGCTACTGAAGGACTAAGGAGCACAAGAATGGATTCATCAAATCTATCCTAGCTCCTCCAAAAGTCATCAACAAGTTTATCTAGTGCTGCCTCTATTTTATATCCCAGTCTAAACGCAGCTGAAGTGACTTTTTATAATCCATTTATAAATCTCTGCAATTGCCATCCAACTATTTTTTCCACAACTTGCTCCACAAAAATCTAATCACTGATTGAAATATTATCTAAAAATATTTCCCAAAAGGGAAGACTGAAAACTGACTGATAGTTATCTAGAATGGAGGGGTTCAGCAATGCCCTCTTAAAGAGGAGGAACATTACTGTTCACTCAAGACTGACAGTATTATTTTGTCCTTCAAATAATTTCCTATTCAGCAGGCCACGTATTTATCCTATTTTTTAACTTATGATCTACATTTTTTTAAAAAGATGAATCATATTGTCTCTAAAAATGCTTAGAAAAAAATTCTAAGCATTCTTTATCTTTGTTTAGATGAACATTCAGAATCAAAGGAGCACATCTTTATTCAATCTTGGTACAAGGTTTTGAATTAACACTTCATCAATCTTTTAAATGCATTTTTCAAGGACAGCTATCCAGTTTATAGATAATATTTTACTTCAAGTGTCAAACAGACGTATCACTCTTAATATTTAATGCCATTATTTATCTTAGACTAAAGATTTTTTTTTCTTATTAGGATTTGTTCTACCTGATTGCAGAAGTTTGCACTGTGCCTGCTTATTTTACAAGCATAACCACCAAAGCAAGATCAGAGAAGGGGTTTCTTTTCAGAATGCTTTCTGCAGACCCTGACATTGCTTTGGAAGGGACAAAATGGAAGTTAAATGTGAGGGGCCCAATTGGCTTCCATTGGCTTCTATATCACTGTCTGACTTAGCCTAAGACATAAACTTAAATTCAATTTTAATAATTTTAATAATCATAATAATTAGTTATAGTTTAGAGACATATATATGCTTTGGTATATATTTAGTCTTTCAGAATTATACTTCTACAATTTTTAAAAACTTAATTTTATGGAGAAAATGAAAAGGTAGATAATTAGGGTTTTTACAACATGTAATCTTGATATGAATTGGAGTCCCCTGAATCACTTACCAATTGGAGAAAAAAGCATAAATGTAGATATCAACAACACATAAAAGTTCAGGTTGTTTACTGATAAATTTTGAAAATGTATACAAAGAAAAATGTCGTACATCTCTGAAATAGACCATAAATAGAATGATGATGGCAACTTCAAATCTCAACAAATAAATGCTCTGTCTTACATATTGGCAAAAAAAATCAGAAAATAAAATACAAGCTGAATAGTCAAGATCTTGTTGATGACCCAAGCTCTGTAAAGGACCTTGGAATACTCACCTCTAATGATCTAAGTGCTAGAGCCCACTGCAACTACATAGCCAAAAAGGCATTAAGAGTTGTTAACTTAATCCTACGTAGCTTTTTCTCTGGTAATATCACACTACTAACCAGAGCATACAAAACATTTGCTAGACCAATACTCGAATACAGTTCATCAGTCTGGAACCCACATTACGTATCTGATATTAGCACAATTGAAAAAGTCCAGAAATATTTCACAAGAAGAGTTCTCCACTCCTCTACTCGTTGTAGAATACCTTATGCCACCAGACTTGAAATTCTAGAACTAGAAAACCTTGAATTACGCCGTCTTCGGTCTGACTTAAGCATGGTATATAAAATCATACATTGCAATGTCCTACCTGTCAATGAATACTTCAGCTTCAACCATAACAACACAAGAGCACACAATAGATACAAACTCAAAGTAAACCGCACCAAACTTGATTGCAGGAAATACGACTTCAGCAATAGAGTGGTCAATGTCTGGAATACTCTACCCGACTCTGTAGTTTCTTCCCCAAACCCCCAAAACTTTAACCTTAGACTGTCTACTATTGACCTCACCCCTTTCCTAAGAGGCCTGTAGGGGGCGTGCATAAGCGCACCAACGTGCCTACCGTCCCTGTCCTATTGTTTCTCTTATTCTTTTATTTTTCTTATATGTATCCATTTCATGTATTCACAACTATGTATACATTTATACTTATTATCTTGTAAACAATTGGCAAATCAAATAAATAAATAAATAAATAAATAAATAAATAAATAAATAAATAAATAAATAAATAAATGATACACTGTCAAGCACACTGACAGGCAGATCAATATCTATCTAGTAAAAACTATTGCTCAATCTTACACCCTATTTTTTATGTGAAAAATGAGGCAAATAAATATCACATAACTATATATACCGTCAGCATTGGAGCACATATAAATAATTTTTAAAATAAGCTGGGAACATATGGACAAATATCTTATTTAAAAAATCTATATACCTGACATGCTGCTGGGAGTCAAAAGAAAGTAGTCATTCTCATTCTTCTCCTCCAGTGTCACCTGTTAAAAATATCAATATTTAATGAATATAACTTTATTATATAATAATATGCAAGAGCCATTTTTGAAGCAGGGTGTTTATTTTTAAGAATTTTGGGTGGTTTTTGCTGTTTTGAGAATGATTTTTTTCCATTGGTTGGAAATGTGCTTCTAAGCACTACTTCTAAGTGCCTTTGGGAATATCTTGAAACTACAGATGATCCTTATTTAACAACTGCCTCATTCAAAAAAGGTATGATGGCTAAAAAGATAACTTTATGACTAATGTCTGCATTTATGATCTTTGCAACACTCCTCAATCACACTTCTCCTTTACAGTCCTGTGCCTAACCTGTTGTCTCCCCCACCCCACATATAGACAGAGAATAGGGAGAAAGAGATTATAAGAGAGTAGGCATACAATCAAGAATATCTGGAACTTTTTGTACAGCAGGTTGTGACTGCTAATGTCAGAACATTACTTTCAATGTCTTTTCCCCATCCTGCTTAGTCTCTTGTAATCCCTTCCTTTCCAACATGTAAATACAAACATTAATTCCCTTCTTGCTTTAGTATCAAAGTGAAAATTCCAAAGGACGGAGAAGTATTCATCTTTTCTCTTTCCTATATCCTTTAACTATTTCTTTTTCTGCCATTGTATATATTTGTATATTATTTTAATCTTCTTGCTCATCTTATTTATTTATTTATTTATTTATTTATTTATTTATTTATTTATTTA